CTCAGCCCCTTGCCAGGCGTCAGAACGTGGGCTTAGAGCATTTTTTATAGAGGTTTACGTCCTCGCGGATCCGAAGATCCACCGGTCCTGTCCATTCAGGATTACGGCTGGGCCGGACGGGGTCTGCACCAGACCGGGTCCGTCCGCCCCAGGGTTTTTTATAGAGGTTGCCTTCCTCGTAGCCCTCGAAGAGCCGTCATTCCTGACTGTTGCCAGTCAGGGTTACGACATGGCCGGACGGTGGTCTGCGTCAGACCAGTGTCCACCACCTCTGGACAGAGCCAGCGGCAGTGGACCCGTCCGCCCCCAGCCCGCTCTCCCCTATGCCCTCTGCCAAACAGAGGGACATGCGGAAAGCAGCCCTCCGAACAGCCCTTGACGGGCCGTTCCCACCTCGGCCGGAATTGGCCGCAGGCGGCAGCGCCTTTCCCACCTAGGGAGAGAGGCGCTGCCGTCTCCGTTGCCCAGGGTGCACCACAAGGAGGTTCCGGACCACGCACCCCAAGTGGAAGCACCTGTGTTTTGATAGAGGGTCTGTTCTGTAAGTTGCTTCAGAGTCATTGTGTCAGAGTGTTAGGTGAAGTTTAGTATTTAATGTTGTGTGAACTACACATTTTATTTGTTAACTAAAGTAATTTTGTTTGTTTGTAGGTATGTATATGTGTTATGTGCTATCCGTGTGGTGACGGATTAAGAATACGAAGTGTCACCACCCCTATTCATCCCGTGGGTGTCGTAGTCATAGTAGGCCAAAACCTCCTTTCTAAGGAGAGGTCCATGTCCAGCAGTGGACTAGTACAGGATGTGTGATGATGTGATAATTGCTTAGTTTATTAGTCTTACTCATAACTGTTTTTAATATTGTTCTTACATTATATTAAGAATTACCTATAACTATTGTGATTGTTAATAGAAATATTTATTTATAAAATAACTTTTTTTTATAATTTTTATTACCTTTATGGATGGGGCAAACAGCCGACCGGGAAAAGACGTCGTAATATTTAATACTAAGAAGTGTCACAAAGAGTTGCTGCTACACTTTAACCACTCATGCCTCGTCTGTGTCCCGCCCTACCCCTTTTCTGCCTCACCCTTTACATAGCCTCTGCTATGTAAAGCACATTCCTTACTTGTTCCCTTTATAATGAAGGTCAAAATTATTTAATTTATCAAGTTAGTTATGTATCCCGTATGAAGGGGAAAGCTACATATTACGAATATTCTAAGGGCTATGGAAGTTCTGTTATGCACTATCATTTTAAATAGTTTGTATGTCACTTTATGAATTCCATGCTTAATATAATACCTCCTTCTGACGTAAACTTGTTCGAAATATATTTTCGACTTAAAGCAACTTAAATTGAATTTAAATACTTTACTATTTTTATGCATACCTAGTTATTTATACTTCAGTATGAAAAAGTAAGAAAGTAACTAAAGTGAAAACCACAGTTGCTCGCTGTGGTTTTTTTTAGTAGATCTCACAAAGAATAATTTTAAGACTTAAATCCGGAATAAGATTTTGAGTACCTGTCATATGTTATAAATGGTAACAGATAGTTCTATAGAACAACTAAATACATATACCTATTCATTTTCATTTAATTTCATTCAATACATTTTTGACATAAACATTATACAAATGCTTTTATAACTATTTACTTAAGCTCAATATCATCCCATTAGCAAAGTTATAAACATGAACTTTATACAAAACTTCTTAGAAGTTTTAACTCGGAAAAGCAGAATATAAACTTATAGAACTCGAAAGTTTGTTAAAATTTAATACAGATCTGAAAATTAATTTATAGTAACTAATAAACACAACTTTATATAGCCCAAACTACGCTGTACAAGACTTACAATGGAAATTTCAGTTCAAATCTTTTAACCCCAAATAACTGTTCTTTATATTTAGTCTGCATTAGTATTCTTTTCCTCGACAAGACGTGACGAATGGACGTTATGTATGAACGATTCAAGACGACACTAGAGCCTAGCTTCTATTATTCTAGAGGAAAATAATACGACGCTCCTTAAATCTAGAGAGGAATTGTTGGACACGTATTAGTCATAAAATAACTTGCGCAAGGTTCTAAAGAAGGAATGTCGGTCCGTCTTAAAAAGTTTATTGCTTTTTTATTAGTTTTGAAGATTCAAATATTATTAAATTACATCCAATTCTTAACCGACTTCAAGCACAAAGAGGTTTACAATTCAAGTTTCTCCTTTCTGTTAATTTTTATAAAGCGGTATCTACACCAATAATGGACCGATTTGGATAAATCTTTTTGGTGAAAAATTAAGGCATGAAGTTGTTTGATTTTATTGTCATTTAGATTCACTGAAGTCAGCGAAATTTTGCCCTGGCAATTCGTACAATAACGACATACTTGTACAATAGTTATGGATTCATCTAAATTTACAGCAGGTAATAAGTTTTATGTTTTTCAATATATATTTAATTCTCATAAATCAGACTAACTTATTACAGTAAATTGCCATCAGTAGCTCTTTTGCGTCCTGAACCAGCAGTTGGATCCATGATGATACAAACTTTGTTGCAACCTTCGTGTTCTTCACGGTGTTACGCTAATGACAATCTGTACAATGACGTCACAATATTTATAACTCTAGTTATATAACCGTATTATAGGTACAGTAACGTTACTAGCAGTCTATTATGAGTAACTACCAAATACAACTGATTCATTTTAGTATTAAGTACCTAATTAAATATTATTCAGGACTAGATAGCGCAGATTTTCAATTTCCTCCAATATGCTTCTATGCTTGAATATATATTTTTCTATTGATCTGGTTGTTTACATGAACACTGTGTAATTACAAGAATGGTAATATACCCGTATAAGTATGCATATTTATGTGTGTTCTAGAACCCATCAGAGTACAAGTCTTAGTTTGGATCTATATAGAGATTTATTTTGTTAAGCATTACAATCTAAATATAATGTATTATTAAAACTTTATTTAACGAGTTTTAGATTAGATTCAATAAATTCTCGACTTGTAGTCAAGAATTTATTGAATCTAATAAATATTAAACTTAACTCTCATTACAGTTTCCAAATGAGTTGGCTTCCAACCTTTATTTGCTATAAACAATGTTATAACAACGTTTTTAAGTTTTATTAAATGCCATAACAATTTCTGCTAATGGCCATAATAATGTTAAATGTAAATGGAGTCATAACAGTCATTATCTCATTATTCATCTGGCATGGTTTGGATAAACAACGTTTAGATTATTATCGCTTCTTTTAAATGATATATTTTTGTATTCTAATTAGTCAATGTTTGTGTTCAGAGAGATGGTTCTGGCGATTGATATACTTTTTTAATGGTTATAATATCAGTCTTCTGGGTGATATCTGGGGGATTAAATATTACTTTAAAAGTAACCACTTTAATAACGCTAAGAAATTAGGAAAGTATTCAAGCAAGGTTTACGTTGACGTCTATCTATCAATATCGAAATGCTCTTAATGCGGTAATGTACAAAAGCAGAGAAAAGACACGAATCTTTTCGATTGTTATTTTAAAAATAAGTGTTCCAATTATTCGTAGTTTTTATTTTTAATTAAAAAAAATGCATAAGCGTTTGTCTTTTAGCTTGCCTGATGGCTTTTCATGATCCTAAAGATGAAGGTGGCATATATTCCTCCTAGGGAAACCTATGCCATCTAATCTTAAACATTCGAGGTTCACAATTGTCTGGAATCCAATGTAGACGCCTCATACTAAAAGAAAACTGTGAATGTCATTTTTGCAAAGTTTAGGCAAGTAAAGATATTTAGGTATGTACAAAAACAAGGCACAAGCAACGCAGTAATAATACTGCCGCTTACGTTCTATGAACATCTTTTTGAAAGATGGTATCTTTACTTTAGTTATGTTATCTATCAGACTTTAGACTTCTGTTAGACTATCAAAAAAATAATTTTATTATAAGGTCTAAACGCTAAAATGATGTAGATATAATAACTATGTCGAAAATGAAGCAGTAGACAGTAGATTTCCGTAACTTTATAATATTCTGTAAGGTTTATTAATACATTATTAGTTAGTATACACATCGAGGTTTAAAAGTGAGGAGAAAATTATAAGCAGTAGCAAATAAAAACGCAAGATCAATGTCATTTCTAAATAATAAATTACGGATGGATTTGTGAAAGAAAATAAAATTAAAATGTATTACGTGTAATGTATTCGTCTTCTGCTATCGTTCAACGTAAGCATAATATAGTATGTTCTATTGACCTCATTTTATTTTGTAGTTAGTTGATTATTTGTGCAGGATGTGGTAAAAAAGTATTGTAGGAATTGTAATTCTTATTGGATATATTTTTTGGAACAAGGAGAACCGCATCTGTCTCATAAATAACGAGTTTTTAACTACAAAAATTTACATATGCTTTATTTTACACAAAGATAACAGTAGTTACATACATAAATGTTCTCTCTCATAATACCTCTTTTATATTCATTAGTAATTAACCTGACAAAACTCATTTCATCTTTAACTACTACCGTCTCTCCAAAACATTTTAATCCATCCTAAGGTTGCCTGGAAGAGATTGCTCTTAGCAATAAGGTCGCCCTTTTTACATCACATGTCTGTAATTTTGTATGTATCATACTACTTGTAAAACGGTGTACATAAAAGAGTTTTCTATTTGTCTATAAATATTAATAAGAAGTAATAGGTAAAGATAAGTTTGATACCGTAAGTAGAGCAATTGTTTGCAATATCCGAAATTCCCGAATCGATTTTTAATTACTTTTGCATACCTCTGGATGTTTCCATTTGCAGAGCTAAAGAGTTACAGAGTTACTGTCGCATTTATAATATTAGAAGGGATTTCACCTCTTCCTGCAATTATTCATAATATATTATTTTACACTATACATTTACTTAGCCAGTACATTTTGCTCTTTTACAGGTACTTCCAAAGCAAAATGTGAATCCACACGTCATGGAGGAAGAATATTGTTACAACTGCAGCCTTTTCGCTCAGATCAACGACACTGTCTTTAAGAACATTACTAAACATGAGACCATCAACAAGTTTTATTTTTATCAGGTAATATCATACTGTGGTTTAATTTAATTATAAATCATAACCAAAGTTTTGCCTTTTATTGTATACTCGCTTTTGCCCACGGCTCTGCCCTCGTGAATGTCGGTAAATCCCATCCCGCGTGAATAAAAATAGCCTATGTTTCTCGCTTATAATAGAGTTGTCCACTGATGAAAGAATTTTTAAAATCGGTTTAGTGGTTTGTTGTTTTATTATTTCTTCTTGATCGATGGAATTAGCTTGGAGTAAAAATATTGCAGTCTAGAAAAGATTTTCATACATGAAAGGTTTATACATTAAAAAGAGACTAATGGTCTGTTTAATAGCTGAAGTGAACACAGCTCATTCAAAGATAGTCTGACATTTCAATGTTACGCGTCAACAAGCATCACTTACAGGTCACTTGTTGTTACCTAAGGTCTTATAGGAGAACTTTTAGAACTATTTTATTTATTTTAGCCATTCTCCACACTATATATATATGTATTATCAATTAACAAAATCTGCGATATTTCATAAGAAGTATATTGAATTCTTAATTATTTATTGTGCTAATATAAAGCTGACATAGAACACTAAAATATTTTTTTAATTTTAAGTGCTCTCTGTTACATTGCAATAAGTCGTTTTGTTTTTTTTTTAAAGATTTATTTTAAGGCGTGATGTGAAATATGCCTGGAAACTTTAAAAAAAATGAACTTTCTCATGTAATTTTTTTTGATAAAAACCGGCTTCTAGTTTCAATGATTAGACTGTTTTTCAATAAAAAAAAACCCTTTAGCTTTGTTTTGTCACAGATGTTATTGCAAAAAAAACTCGTGTTAATAATAAGATCTCTCCATAAAATTATATTGTTTGATTTTTATTACATAATAAAAGACTCTTAATAAACATTCTTAATAAGTTTTCTCATCATTTTATGTATCATTAAACTGAATAGTCTGTCAAACTGTCTCAGAAAAATAATATTTGTGACATTAAGATGAAGAAGAAAGAATCGGCTCAGTATTAGTCTAGACAACGAGAACGTTGAGGTATTCGGTATAATTTAGTTTACAACTTTAAATTTCGTGTGGAAGTTGAACGGTGAAGCTTTTTAGTATTCCAAAGTTTGGAAATGAAATACTTCTGAATACTTCTGAATTAATGATCTCTCACCATTTTCTTTCTAAAATATTATCGATTCAAACTAACTTTTGAGAATATGGTATTAATATATTTACAGATTTATATTTTTACTATTGTGACTAAGTGATCATAGATTAACTTTACTCTTAGCATTTTTATCCAAACTATTTTAGGTAAAATATTTTTTATATTAGGATATCTAGTAGTGCTTAAGCCTCCTATATGCAACATGTACATATATAATATAAACGTGAATACATTTTTTCGCTCACGCTAATAAGCAATTATTTATTTTCCACAAATGAAGATACCAAGGAACAGACGCAGCACCATATTAACCAATTTATTAGAGTTAAAGAAATTACTAAATATTTTATTTTTTGGGTTTCAATAAGAAAAGTAAATTCTGACAAGAAACTCTTACTTACTTTTCAATTTACATTTTCTCGCTACCTATTATGCTATTTTACACTTCTATTTCTTATTAAAATTGCTTGACTCAATGTAGCGGGACCAGAATTAATTGTAAAAGGATCTTCAACTGAAGTATGGGTCTAGACACGTTCTCAGTATTCTAATCTTGTTTTATACGCCAACTTAATCTGGGATCTTTGTGGACTGCAGTTTTGTTCAGTCGTAGTCGTCCAAAATACAATTTACGAGTTGTATTTGAAGTTTTAATACCTAGTTATACTTGCGTATCAGTAAATGGATGGTCAGGCACGGAAAAACAAAATTATAACATGACTGAAAACCTAATTGACAGGACCAGAGGCAGTAGAGACAGTTTTTTACTGACTTCTACCAAAGGTCTTACCATTGAAGAATGAACTTCTTCGGCTATTTGGCGTCTAACTACAAAATATTTTGCAATCTACTGAGATGAAACCTCATTTATAGTATAAGCAATATCGCTCTACAGAAAATCACTAGATCTATCTATTAAATGTAGAAAAGAGTAATTTAAATTATTAAAAATAGTATATGAAATAATATATTATGAGAACGAATAAACAACCACAACAGGCCACACCAAGGCAACTTTATATTTCATCAACTTTACAAAACTTGATACGCGCCTAATTTAAAAAAATATAATTCGTAATACGTTATCTAATTTGAAAGAACTTTCATACTTTTATAATCTTTGAATACTTAGCAAATTGTTATAACAAAGACATAAAAAAAACCTTATTACGGGTATGTCTTCATTAACGATGTCGAATTATAAGAAAATAATTTTACAAAGGTTGGAAATGATTCGTTGAATAGGCGGGTAATAAATTATTAAGAAAATATCAGAAGTATTATTGTGAGTTTTATAACTGAAGGATTTCACTAAATATAAAATTATTATGCAATAAAAGTATTCATAGAAAAAATGTATGATATCAAATGGCATAAGGCGGAATGGAATTCATGAAGCATGTAACGTTACAAATGATGTCATAGGCTCGTCTGATATAATAAAGCTAGAGTTTATTTTTTGCTCGAACGCGCTAGTCTCTGAAAATTATTGGCAAAGCAGTTGGATAAAAAAAAAGAATTTTTGTATTTTATATCTTAATTCTCGGAAAAGATTAAATAAGGGGAACGGGTATTATAGTGTATAAAAGAAATATAGTAGAATGTTTCAGTATTTTAAGTCTTTTTACATCCCTGTCCTAGATGTAACTTCAATCATAGGGCAGACATGTATCCGTATACCTTTCCCATTTTTCTATGTCTTGTCACGCCATTGATAGGTAAATGAATGTGAATGGATTATTTAAAATTGTTACAGAAATATCCAAGAATTCCCCCACTTGACTTTATTCGGTTAGTTTTAACTTTTTTTCTTTTTTCAGTCGGCACAGTTAGCAATCCTCTGGGTACTTCTAGTAACAATTGTGGCTGGCAACGCAACCGTAGTACTAGCTTTGCTGCTAACAAAATCTCGGAAAAGCAGAATGAACTTCTTCATCATGCAGTTGGCTATAGCCGGTTAGTAGAAACACCAATTTTGACTTACTAACTTAATTTAAAAATAAAGTTTTATGATGGCTCAGATAGTAATTAATACTCGTACTTAAAAATATTCACCGAAGGTCAGATCTCGTATCTTTTTTAATTTTGTGCTGAAATTGCCAAAGTTTGAAGCGCTTAATGGTATAGGAGCTAGCAACGTTTTCGAGAAAGAATTTTAGGACAGCTGATTTTGTGATATGTTGTCCTTCTTGCACTTTCGGTTAGAATCTGGGCTATCTGGCTGGCGGTAGCGGTTGCGTTCATTAGTGCGAATCCTACCTGTCCAGGTAATAATCCTGTATTTTAAAAACATTTTTGATCTCCCAAAAACCAGGCAAAATCATATTTGTCACCGTTAATGGTCCAACCGAAAGCCATTGGAGATAAAGATGTTGGATGTTTTGAGTGAGCATTTCTCCAAATTTTCGTTACAAAATACAGGATTATTACCTGGACAGGTATGATGCGCACTAATGAACGCAACCGCTACCGCCAGCCAGATAGCCCAGATTCTAATCGAAAGTGCAAGAAGGACGACATATCACAAAATCAGCTGTCCTAGAATTCTTACTTTCCAAACGTTGCTAGCTCCCGTACTATAAATTTTTGCCCAAAATAACGTGGTCAAGGTCACGTAATACGAAACAGGTCTTTTGCTAAGCAGGTAACTTTGTTTTTTTTTTAATAATATAACGTAGTATAAGCAACATCAAAGGCTATATTTCGGACTAGGTGTTGTACGCAAGTCTAAGCCTTTAACTAATATTGTTTAATATTATTAGATATATTATATATTTTGGTATGATTGTACTTTTAACAGGAATTAATACATAGTTATTCTTACAGATCTATTAGTGGGACTAATCAGCGTACTACCAGACTTAATACAAAGGATTACAATTACATGGCTTGCTGGTTCCATCACTTGCAAGATGATGAAATATTTACAGGTACTTGTTAAGAAGTAATTGTTGAAGTAACAGACACTAGCTTTTGAAACAGAACATACGCTGTTCACTTAAAATTTCACCACATATTTTAGAAACAAAATTCATTTATTACCATATATTTACTGTGCATTTTATTATTTTTAATTTCAAAAACAAACTTTGTAATTAATTAATTATTATTTCCTTTATATGTGCTTGAATAAAGCAATTTTTCAACTTCATTTTTATTATAAGTCCCACTTAAACTGTTTGATAGGAGATTACTACTTTTACCATTCATCTTTTTCTAATATGCTAATATGTGCATGTAGTACTTATCGATTGAACACACACCACAATTAGTCTTTAATACACAATTTACTTCTACCTCGTACTAACCTAACTTTCTTATAGGACTACAAATTCAAGAGTGTGTTAATTTTCAGGGTGTGGTCACATATTCATCTACATATGTGTTGGTTGCTTTGAGTGTAGACCGGTGTGATGCAATTACACATCCTATGAATTTTACAGGAAGCTGTAAGTACTAGTTTGGTTAATATTTCTTTACCTAACTGTTAAATAAAAATATATTTATTTAATTTACAAAGTAGCTGATATATGCTCCAACTAGACCGTGACTATGCTCGATTTTTTTTAATTTTGAGGCATGCCATAAAGTCTGCCAAGTTTCTAAAGTTAAAGAGGGATTTCCTCGTTTATAATAAAGTAAACGTTATATTTAACAAAACTATTTGTGTTTACTTGAAAAATAAACCAAAAAAATATATAATTATTACACCAAAAAGTAAAAGGATGTAATAATTTAATATTTCGTCTAATAAACATTTACGAAATGTTTTTGAAGCCTTTAAGACTTCGTTCGAGTACTTGTAATACTCGTAAGTACTTTAAGTCTTGATGTAACATATCATTGTTTGTACAGGGCGTCGAGCTCGAGCTCTTATCCTGGGAGCATGGCTTCTCAGCTTTCTCTTCTGTGTTCCAATGCTGTTTTTGTTCGATGAAGCGAACGTTGAAGGTATGTCTTTTTGTATTTATTTTCGCTGTTTATTTTTAATATATTTATTTATTATTTGTGTTTCTATGTATTATATGTATGTATTTACAAAAAAAAGTATATATGTATTTATATCAGTTGTCTAGTACCCATAGTACAAGCTCTGCTTAGTTTGGGACTAGATGGCGTTGTGTGAATGTAGTAAAATATATTATTATATTATTATTATATCTAGATAACTATTCACATTTTACATACGTGTGCATTTTATATGCATCGTCGGCAGATTTGATTTTTTATTTTATTATGTATTAAATAGAATTTAAATTAAATAAAACATCTGCATTTAGAAAAAAATAGTTTGAGTATTTACGACAGCCGAAGGATTCTTATGAAGAATTTTAAGGAAGGCAAAAAAAAACCACCAAAAACACTCGTAAATAAAATAAATTAAATGTAATTTCTTTAAAGAAAGCTATTGACTGTTCCTTTAAAAAATCAAAAAAAAGACCTAGAATAGAATAGACCTAATAGAAAGAAAAATGTATGTAGAAAATATGTAAAAAAGAGATCCGCAAACGAAATATCCGATAAGATTATTTCACAAAATTAAGTTTACAGAGTAACGGTTTAAGTCCCGAATCTTTACATCAAAATGATCGTGTTCATTATCGTATATACCCATATTTCAAAAGTCATCAAAACCATTAAAGACAATTTTTAACGTCAGGTTCTATATTTTGTTATTAGGTAAGTAGAAAAATGATACAGAAGACAGGTTAATTAAAAAAGAAGAAAATTAAGCGATTAACGATGATATTATAAATTATATTATTTCGTTTGCTTTCAAATGTGTCTTTTAAATAAGTATGGAAAATTAAGTACCCTATCAAACTTGGCCAGATTTATACTAAATTTTACAAGCAAGATAGACTGTGTGGGTGTCAGACGGTATCCATATCTGGTTTTTAATAATACCGTCAGCTGTTAAAACAAATTCGAGTTTATTTTACGACTGGGAGAACTTAATTATTACTGCGATAGACATCTATGTATGAAGGAATTCGCCATTTTAAGAATCAGTATGCTTCTACAGACATGAAGCGAAAAATACTGAATGTTTGGTGATAAGCGTCTTATAATAAGAGAGAAAGTTGGCAAAGTGAACACTACTATGTCTAAATGATCTTAAAATAAACATATTGCAGAAAATGTGTTACAGACTTGGAAAAATAACTTTACTTAGAAGGATATTCTCATACAATTGTTTATGGTTAATATATTATTACTTCTATATTTTATTTGCTTAGTATCCCAGGACTATTAAGTATTTTAGTTATAACTCTTTATATTATTCAATTACCCGACAATGCAAACTGTGACTCAGTAGCATGTGTACAAGGTCGGCGGTAGTCATTTACGATCAGGTGACCTGTCTGCTAGTTCACCCCCTTTTTTTGTGGACGGAGTAGAAAATTACTTCGGATCTCCGGCTTCTCGTGGAAAAGGAGCCAGGAGTATGTGGTGTTGCCACTAAAAACTGACCCGAAAACCTGACGGCTGGTCTCAGGTCCCCCCGGATCGACGCCGCGCCTAGCTAGGCCCTATCCCGGGGGAAGCCGCCGGCTTTTTTGCGAGGCTGCTATCCTGTTGCCTACTGCAGCAGTTAATCTGCCACGGGAGGCCAGCACTCTCTTGCAGCCATCATAAAAAGAAATGCTGTTTTTGTAAGACGAATACCTGACCCACGCATGTGTCTTTGTCTCTCAAAAGGAATAAATTTTCGCTATTTTTGCATCATTTTTCATTGATGCTTGGCTCCAATTGATCGCAGCATGATGTTATATATCGCCTATGGCCTTCATTGATTCCAACATTAAAAGAATTTTTCAATTCGAACCAAGGACCAGTAGTTCTTTAGATCAATGTGTTCAAGCAAATAAACAAAAAACTCTTCAGCTTTATAATGTTAGAATATATTCAATTGGTCCAATAAAAAACTTCAACCAATTACTGTCCAACTGACAGCTGAGAATTTTACTTATCAACCCCGTAATACAATTTGCATGTGTCGTTACTTTCCGACCCTCATCCAATTATTCGACAGACAGGAAAAAACAGTATTCAGTTTGAAAGTATCTCTCAAAAAGTAGTTTTTATATAAATATATTTACGGAAAAGTTAGCTTCTTAGAGTAAGTAGCAAAAAGATTGCTTGATAAAATTCAAGTTTGCTTACTTTAGAAATAAAAAGATAAAATGCGCTAGGTAAGGCTTTAAAATACCGGATTAGATGTCTTAATATCAGCTGTTCAAGGACCCCTCCTATCGCGAAGTGGCACACCGCGTGGTTTTAGTCGGTTCGATTCCCACACACCGCCCCGACGCAAAACCCGGTATGGTGACGACCCGAGGGGGGTTTCCACAAGTTAAATAAAAAAAATATTCTAAGGAGAGGCTTATGTCCAGCAGTGGACTGTTAAAGGCTGTTGATGATGATGATGATTATGATAAAATACCACCACGGTCATTGCCAAGTATCTTATTTGGAAATATTATTTAATAGATTTAGTTACCAAATCCTTATAGTCCCATGACAAATTCACAACAGTAATTTATTTAAGTTGAAAACTGCTTTTGAAATAATGACTGAATAGTCCTATTTTAGTTGGTTGGTTAAATCAGAACGTGGAATTCTACTGTCTAATGTAAGAGAACAAGTAAGATCTGTTTACAAATTATGGACACTCCTGTAAGATAATATATACGATGTTCTGGTTATATTTTAGGAAATCTTTCTTTTAATATTTTTTCATTCTTTATTCAGTGTTCCTTTGTCTGGTATCAAACGTAACCAGTTAACTAGTGAGTGGTTTCACTGTTGAAATTAGAGATATCAATTTGGCACAGGCATACGATAAAAGATACCCAGAAAGTTCTAAGTTAGAATGATCCATGATAACATAATTTTATCTTTTTATTTATAAAATGTGATTTTATAATTTTAACTTTATTGCAGGTATTTACCAATGCTGGTCCGGTATAAGCAAGTTGCAGTGGCGGATATGGATGACAAGTGTGTTCGTTTCACTGTTCGTGGCCCCAGCTCTGACAATATCTGCCTGCTACGGTGTGATCGTGGTAACGATACGTCAAAAAAGCATACGTGTACTTGGCAGACGGGCTACAGCAACAAGGCAATGTAAATGAAAAATCTTTATTTTTTATTATATCCTCAATAGGGTAGTTGACTGTATGATAAATAAATAACAATGTCATAAAATAATATTTATTCTAGCTTATAACTATCTATACAAATAAAAAAAATTGGAGTGTCTGTTTGTAATATTAAAATAACCGCTTTTAACTAAATGCATATGTATGTTTACACGGTACATATGCCAAAATAACATTTTTTACAATTTTTGTCTGTCTGTCTGTTTGTTCCGGGTAATCTCTGGAACGGCTGGACCGATTTCGACGGGACTTTCACTGGCAGATAGCTGATGACATAAGGAGTAACTTAGGCTACTTTTTTTAGACTAGCTTCGCCCCGCGGCGTTGCCCGCGGTTATAACAACAAACGCGGGTAACACCGCGGGTCTCAGCCAGTTCCGAATATAAATCAAATTAACATTGAAATATATTCTTCCATTGAGTAGTCTAAAATACAATTACATGTTTAACAAAACAAACAAAACATGTTTCATACAAAATGGTCGTTTTGACTAATGATAAAAAGTAACTAATTTGATTAAGGTATTAACAACCCTATTCTGATTAACTATCATGTTGATTATTGTGACAAACTATAGTAAATCCTTTTTTCGTGCAATGGTAGACAAACGAGCAGACGGGGTCTCTGATGGTAAGTAACTAACACCGCTTATGGACTGTAGCTGTAACTGAAGAGTCACAAAGGACAATGGCAGGTCCCCATACATAATTTTATTTCAACTGAAATGGTAGCGTTTAAATATCAGAAATGCGTTGAGACTTCATCATTTGAGAATTTATTCTTGACCATTTTTATAACAAAATTACTAGCGAAAGAAGTCTAAGAAAAAGGTATTGGATTTTGAATATTTCGAGGTTAAGTACTAACATATTTTCAACGTTTGTGGAGGAGGTTATTTTACCAATACATATCTTCGCTTACCAAGCAGGTGTAATACTAGCTATAATTAAATAAATCAATAATATTAATTAAAAATAAGAATTAGAATAATTCTGCTTCAATACACATTTACATAAGGCAGATGGAAATTAATTTATTTAATAGTTATTAGACAACCATTAGTTGTTACATCATTTACTAAAATACAAAGCTGCATGCTTTCTAAAATACAAAGCATGCACAACATTTAAAGGCGTCGTCACATCATGCATAATATCACTATATGAAATTAATTTTTATAAAACATAAAATCTATGCGAGTTTCACACTAAATTGAACAAAAATAAAACAACGAACAATTCCGTGTAAGAAATGGTCATGTAAGGCATGCCCGTGTGTCAAGTGTTAAACGACAAGACCGGCGAGTGCGGATTTCGACAGGATCTAAACGACGACGTATCGACATTTTGAAAATTTCGATGCATGCCTATTTATGTGCCGTTATCCACGACAGTATTTTTGTCTCATCATACCGTGTAGTGTACCGGTTTTTTTCCATCGGAAAACTATATACCTTCTAAAAATCCTTTAAAAAGAGTCAAAAATATTCGTGTGAATTCGTGGGCAGAAGCAAATTCATAATCATAAAAGGTGACCCTTCGGTAGATATTTCATCCAAAGTTATAAATACGATTATCGATAAAACGTTCCATAATATAATAATGGCATCAGGCATCCCTAGTCAGTTATAAGTGATATCAAAGCTGACATTACGTACTTTGGTCAAATGAAATCTTAAAAATTATTCTAACTCTTATAAGACTTATACAACACATGGTGGTGTAAATGATAAATCATAGAAAAAATATTTAGTTTACTGAGAGTATTTTCTTTAAACCTATAAGTTTTAGATAAATATGTTTCTGCAATTATTCTTTAAATTGCGGCAATTTAAATTCGCCTCGAAGAATCAGAGGAGCAGTGTTTGGGCTCTGGTTACCTCACTCACTGGATGAAAAGATAGTATTGTTTAACACAGGTATTCCGTGAGACCCTCACATCATTCCGGGCGAGCCGGCCTATTTATGTCGCAGCATGGCTCTACCAGGGTTAAAAACTATATCATTTGCAGCTCACTCGGATTTTCCAAGATAGATATTTATTAAAAATATGGAAAAAAAAGTAACAGAGAGTTAGAAGACTCGGACTCCAAAGCAATAGCCAGTTTGAGTATCAAGTGTACAGAGGTGAATGTATGTGTGTACGTAGGAATGAAACAAGAACAGCACTGTGTGCGAAAGAAAATTTAATTAACATTAGCAGAGGTACTAAAAACAATTTAGCACACATAAAATACTCATTCCAGTTAGTACCATATAGCTCGTGTATATGTGTTTATATATATATACCTAGGATAAAACAGACTGCCTTGACTGTGAGACATCTCTCACAGTCAAGGCAGTCTGTAAGGCTGATTTCTGTGTTTATTACCAATAATATACTAAGAAACGAACAGTTTGATAGCTTACAGACTATCAAAGCTAATTGCCAACTGAATCATGGATCATGAACCTACTTACCATATAACCTAGATACATAGTAGTCAGCTGAAAACTAATAAGATTGAACATTAAGTGGTGATAAAGTTAATATCTGAGCCATAGTCTAGATTAGTTTCTGTCTGACACTCTTAATTAATTATCGAGAGTAATTTGTAACTGTTTTTGCTGAGAGATGTCTTGTCGTAGTAAGATTGATAGTGATATTTAAAGAATAATGTCATTGTTCGGTTTATGTGTTTTTTTATGGTAAGTGATTACCAGCGCCCATAAGTACCTGCAGCTCAAGAGACACAAGCGCGTTTTTACCCTTTTAGCCCCCCCCCCCCCCCCCCCCCGGCAAGGGATCGGGTTGCTATTTGTGCATAGCGTTTGTCATATGCACGACTGCAAGGATGGCGTAGTAGTTTAAGTGGCCACCTCGCCGTTTCCTACTGCGCTGAACATTTTGTATGATCCACGAATTATTAAATTGAGTCTGGGTGTTCTTTGTGACCGTTTCATATATGTTTGTAAAGTCCCCCGCGACACAGGATTTATTCCTAGTGCACGAGTTGCATTTATAACTATTTTGATATGCCACTCACAATCAAGAGATTCTGGTCATCTTCTCTCTCGTCACTAAGTTTGTTTCTGTTTGATTTGGTCTGGGTATTTCTATGTATAATATGTATGTATTTACAAAAAAAAAAATTTATTAAATTATATCATACTTCAATTATTGATACTTTAACTTACCTACTAACATAAACATATCCAACAATTTTTGTGTTTTGCGTCTGAAAATGTCAAATTACTCAAACTTAGATAATTGAAACACACTTATAAAATGATGCTTTCAGTTTATGAATTTTCAAAGTTAGACACTATTTTAATTATCAAACATTACGCATATCCAGAATACTGGAATCAAGTTGAGAAAGTTTAATTACTTGCGTCGGAATAAAAAAAATATTATGAATAAATTGAAACGAAAATTTTATGCGACTAACGATGTACTCATTGCGTGTAACGTCGTGCGTAAATTAAACCAGTCAAATAAATTCCTCACACTTTTAATTACTTTATTTTTTCCATCTGATAGGCTCACTTCCATTCTACCGATTTAAATGGTCGCAACAACATTACACGTTACGAGTATGTCACGTCTTTGATGTACATAACATATGCATTAAGCAAAGTACTCTGAACTATTCATTTTATTATAAAGTAAACCTTCAAAGTGTGTGACTTGCTTTTATCAGTGTTACAAAGTTGAACATTTTGCACCATATTGAAAAATTAAAACTTCGCCTAGGGTTTCTTCATTGTTAACTTATTGTAACAGACCGTAAATGAGTCTATAACGAAATATCTTAACTTTGTAAACAATATGGAATAAAACAAGTTACAGAAGTTGAAAATACTTGTCCGTTTAGGTTTCGCCAAACAATTAACGAATATTCTGTACTGCTATTTTTGAGAATAAGTACTTAGTATTATATAATTACTAGCTGACCCTGCAAACGTTGTTTTGCTATTCATATTTTTTTTTTTTTTTGAGTTTCTTAAAATCCGTTCTTAGCTGACCTCTACTCGGTGAAAAGAATATTCCTACCAAATTTCAAGTCTTTGCTAAAGCTCTAATGGTTCCAGTGATATCGTGATGAGTGACTATATACGTGGAAATTTCTTATATACATATATAGATTTGGAATATTACGAGTTAGATTTAGAGTTTTTCTTGAGGTTTATTGTACACGTCGTATCATCATCAGCATCATCATCAACAGCCTTTAAGAGTCCACTGCTGGACATAGGCCTCTAGTTAGAAAAGAGGTTTTGGCCTAATATACCACGCTGGCCAGACGGGTTGACACGTCGTATAAGAGACACTAATTTTTTATTATCACTACAATTTCTCAATTCAGCGTCTTCCACTAGGTGGAAATTGTTTGGTATTTTGTTTCTATGCGTTGCTTTTATAATTATAATTATATAATTGATATATTACATAATGGACCATATCTAAATGTCAAGAAAGATAAGGAGAACATAGTTGAGCTATATCGTTAGTTAGATAGGCAAACAAAAGACCGACTCTGTAAGGATTTTGTTTTATATGCGACGTACGAAATGTTGAATGTACGAAAAGGTAAGGATGAAATTGCCTACAAAGATGAAAATGATGAAGTATCGCGGCTAAATTAAGCAGAACGTGACTGAACTGTTAAAATATTGCGGTCAAAGAAATATAGACTCAACCACTCGGGATTTATGCTCACAAATAAAATCTTATCGTTACTTATTGAATAAACTGCGGCTAAGAATACAGAACGATAAAGTGAGTTACGATCTTGAATAAACCTAAGGCTTAATAAATTGTTAAATAAATATTTCGACGAAATAACCGTGTACGTGATTTGAAGTGAAATACCTGGGAGCGATCTGTGATGTTTGCCAGTTCTGACTCGGGTTAGTTTATAAATTATTTTTGTTTACAGAGGCGACGTAACTACTCCACGTTATTAAGTATTGGAAAAATTTTGTACAGAAGCATATAATATCCGGAACCATACTGCTTTTTATACGATACTGTTAATGTTTTCAAAAATAACTCTTTTCATTTTAAAATCTAATTTCTGGCCTGTTCAACACATAGTTGCTATACTTATATACGAGTACACTACTATTTATATTTAGAATTTACATGTCTAACTTCAAAACATACCTGCTCGTTTTATCTTTGATATATTTTATTCTTTAGCAACTCTAAATCAAAATTTTGCTTTACTGTTGAATAAACATGATAAAATAAAAATAAAAAATTGTATTAACCAGTCCACTAAAATTTTACGGGAAACATGCGTTTTGTTAAACAAGTTGTTTGTTACGAACTATTTGCTAACATAGTTGGGAAACTTTTGTATTTCGAATAGATGTAGACCAGAAAGTTTTACATTAAATCATTTTAATCATAAAAATATACGTTGATGTGGAAATGTGTATAATTTTAACATATTTTCAATTTTAGGTCTACAAAATGGCGATCATAGTTATTGAATGATAAGTTATTAAATATAATAATAAGTTTTTATTTATTAACTACCTACGTATGTATTTATAAATAATATTTGTAAAGAGCCATATTTCTGCACATATGGGGTAGGCTCGATCGGAATGTTATCACGGCCTCACAAAAAACCAGTGTTAAACAATTATTTCGTTACATTTCACTGAGGGCTGCCACCGGAATCCAGAAACTCCTATAATTCTGACACTGAAAGAATAGAGTTTCAGAGCTGAAAACAGCCCAAACGGAACAGCCAGCGCACTATATACGACCTATAATGACTATAACGACCGTCATAATATAACCTACACTATTTTGGTCTGCTTTATAAAATTTATGGTCTGGTGTAATCGTAATTAAATTTTATCTTAAATTTTCTAATGGCAAAATCATTCATTATTTTATCTTTTGTAATTTATATTACTTGGACAATTTAAAGATGCTCTGTTTCTATTACAGACAGCGACGACTTGGACAGTAGACGCGCAAGCAGCAGAGGCATCATTCCGAAGGCCAAGATTAAAACTGTCAAAATGACTTTCGTCATTGTCTTCGGTAAGCATATTTTTTGTAAGAAAAACAATACCGTCACACACACACACACACACACACACACCATTGCTCATAGTCTCACGGGGCAAACGAAACGATGACATGTTCAACTTGTAACGGCTACAGTCACACAGTCCATCATTAGGCTTTATTGCCATTGCAATCGGGTTTTCTCATACACCCTTCGTTGTACCCTAAAAAGTAACTCTCTGCAAAACCCGACATTTGGTGAGTACTATAATGTTCCTATTGTGTTTCTAAATATCGTTTTATTACTGCTGTTGACATTTCAATATGATAATAATTAACTTATAATAACTTCATAATAATAACTTTACACGTCTTACACAAGGCAGTCTGATTCCAAACTAGGCAGAGCCTGTACTATGATAACCGGGCTGCTGATAAACATACTTAAATATTTCTAAATACATAAGTACACATTTTAGATAAATGACACCCAGACACAGAACAAAGTGTTCATCACACAAACATGTTCATCACACAATTGTTTGCCCTGGGTTGTTTCAAACCCAATCACTAACCACTATAGACCAGGGATGGAATAATATCACAATCACATGTGATAAATCATATGATTTAAAAATAGTTTCACCACAACTGTGACTGAATTACAAAACCCAAAATTACACTTAATTATCATTATTACGCTAGCGCAAGACTCGCAAAAGGTCTAAATCAAATTTAAAAAAAGTTATAATCTTTGATTAAAAGAATTTTGATTGATTTTAAGGACACTTATCTTTGTCCATTAAGAAAACACAATCACACAAATAAATATGATTTAAAAGTAGTAATAATTTCCATGTCTACTATAGAACACCACGTCTGATTATAAATATTTTATGAATTTTATAGCTATTAAATTTTAGTTTACCCATATTGCAATTGTCGTTCTGTTTATTTTCATACACACAGAATTTTTGTCTGTGTTCCTAAATAAGTATTCTCAGAAACTTTACACTAGTATAATATTTTATTGTTACTAAAACTTCGCAACTGTTGATGTAATAAACTTACGATGACAGTCTAAATAAGACAACAGACTCAACTTGGATGGCAAAACATTTCCCAAAACAGTCGTTAATGAGTCATGCTAAGTTTTAAAACTTTTTATCTCCAGTTTTGAGAAAAAATATTTTTATACTGTGTTAATGCCAAAAGAGTTTGGTTTTGGCTAACTTGGGAATTGATCAATAAATTAATAGTTAGACTAGAATAATATATTATATGCACTATGAATAGTATAGAGCAATAATAATTGTTTTATCATCTCCATGGCATTTTAGGAAGTTCGTTGTGAATTTCCATGCAGAATCTTACCTTTTTTTTCCCGACTGCCAAGGAAGGGTTATGTTTTTGGCGCGAATCTTGTATGTTTGATTGTAAATTTCTTTATCACCTTGTATCTTCAAAATGGCTGGATGAATTCCAACAGTTAATGTATAGTTTGATCCGTCTCGAAAACCCAAGTGTCTTTTGATGGCATTTTGCAAAAATGCAGTTTTTTCAGGTAAATAAGAAAAATAGCAAACCTATCCCGTAGGGTATCAAAATCAAAAAAATTAAAAGGGAAAGGGATAAATTAAGGGAAGAGAAAAGAAATTATTAGTTATTTATTAAAATTTGAAAAAGAATAATAAATTAGTTTTTGATAGCTTAAATATGGCCATGTTTGTATAACTACCCTAACCTCGTGCTGTTTCGGTCTTTTTAGTGCATTACTTTTAAATTATCTTTTCACAGTCGGGATTTTGGTTTCTTTCAATTATTACTTGTTGATGCTTTAGAAGCGTCATTGAAATCCGATGGATTAATTTCAATTTTTTTTGTAATATGTTCTTTTTTATTTTAGCATTTTCAGTTAAAGTAAAAAATATTAATAATATTTTTTGTCACGCCACTTTTTACTTTTTTTGTTCAGCAACTTCCTGAATAATCTGGACATTCTATCAACATTAAACAACAGACTGTAGTTTAATTCATAGCGGCTTTCTCATTTTTGCGTATCAGATTTATCGGGCAATTTTTTCAAACGTATTGCATTAGGTTATGAACAGCCTGTATAGTAGGTAAATAAGTATAAAGTGAAATCTCTGTCGGCGGCGAACGGTGTGAGAGTAACAAGCAGCCTCGTTCATTATCTCAAACAATTCTTCTGAAAATAAATTATCACCCAGGCGGTGGCAGAACACCCATAGCGAGGCACGATCTTTCTGAAGGTCTAACCGTAGGAGGGTTTACATGAATTGGAACGGCAAAGAAACAAAGTGTTTATAAACATGATAAAAAAGTACGAATAAGTAACATTTCACATTGTATTAAAGTTCGCATTTGACAAAATGTTTGAAAGACTATTTAAATGTCGTTTTTTACCCGGCTGAATAATTAATTGGTTTCAAAATGTTTTTGACAGCGTAAAAATGTGTCATGTTTGTGTTGGACCTAGTGCTGTCATTATTTATTTTTAGTGCTTATTATTTCATTGATAATTTTTTATAGTTTTTAGGTACATGAAAAATCACTCTATCTATATCTATAAAAGAAAAAATTGACATACTGATTCACTGACTGATCTATTACCACACAGCTGTAACCGTTGGGTCTAGAAGCATGAAATTTTGCAGAAAGAAAGGATTTTCAAAATTTTCCCCCTTACCCCCCAACGTTTTTATTACTTTTAATAAATAAATTAAATTAAATTTTAATTTTTAAATAGTTTGGAAATTTATATGAAATTTCAATAATTTGGTAGTAGCGTTTTCAGACTCACAGTAAAAACTCTTTATTAAAAATAATAAAAAGCATTTGAACTATTTTTTAACCCTTAATAGGGGTGCAAGTTTCTCTAGAGAACCATTCGTTTGTAATTTATCGATTCCGTATGAAAATAAAAACAATTAGACACCTATATTTTTTAGTTTTCGAAACGTAAGTATGTTTGTAACTCAATCACGCCAAAACGTTGGATCTGGACGAGATTTGGCACATACATAAATTATAGTCCAGGATAGAACAGAGGCTAGTATCTATATAATAAGATAAACCAAGTATTAAAAATATATGTCATATCGTATATACAAGGTGTCAAACTCTAGTAGGAGAATATTTAGGTAAACTAAATGACGCAGACACAGAAAACATCTTAGCAATTTTAAAACATTATTACATTAACAATCTTTTAGAACCTTAACATATTAACTTTCTGTAACTAACATCATAGTCAAGTGATTGTCTGAAACACAGGTCTCATACCTAGCTGCACGGACGGCGTAGTGGTTTAAGCGGTCTCCACGCCTCTTCCTACTGCGCCGAGTGTTATGGGTTCAAACCCCACATGGGACGAAGCTTTGTGTGATCCACAAATTGTTGTTCTGAGTCTGGGTGTTCTGTCCGTTTCATGTATGTTTGTAAAGTTCCCCGCGACACAGGATATATTCCTTATGCGGGAATTGTCTTAAAAAAAAAGGAAAGAAGCTCAGGCCGTTTGCAAAAGAACTTGTAATAAGTATTTTGATTTTACCCCTTTTTATATTCACTCTTGCACGTTTTAGAATAGCCATATACTAGTGTATGTTAGCTTTAATAATAAACTTTATACAATAATCTAATGACAATAAGATGTAAATCATATACAAAATGTAACCAATAACTTACTCTGATTCTGCAAAAACATTTTTTTTTTTGTTTTTTTATATCTTGCCAAATTCATTACCAAATTTGACATTTACGAGAGCGAAGCCATAGCCAAAGCTATAGCTTGATATAGACATTTTAAAGTAATTCTTAATTTTATAGCACATATTCTACAAATGTTTTCTTCTATGTATAGTTATTAAATATTCAAAAAATGTAATCATGCCGTACTTGTTTAAAAGTGGTAAAAATATTATTGTTTCTCTTTCTTCACGTATTTATATTTAGATATTTGGATGCTACTACCATATAAATGAATATCTAAACGACAAATTTGAATAATTAACATAATATATAATTACAAAATAAATTTAAAAATATATAATATACTATGGAAACAAATCAATATATAATAATAATATACTATAATATAATATTTACTAAATTTAATTAATACGTGAGCAATAAAAGAAATACCTACTTAGTTATATTTACTAATCTATGTTTCAATATGATGATGGAATGTTTGATTTCTCTCCTAATGTTGCCGTGCCCGACAGGGTCCATAATTGTTTCTTTCTACATTTATAAGACCTGTGTAAATCGCAATAAACGAATTGATTTGAATATTTATTTTATGTTATAAGATATAGAAACAGACAAACAAGTACAAGGCTTAGCGACACCATATAGCATTTGTTTGTCGAATAGTTGATAATTATAGTTCCAACAGCTCACAATCATCAATACGAATAAATCTATTATAATAATTTATGCTTCGTGGAGTATCTCGTTTGCGTAACATACTCCTGTAGACATACACATATAAATACGTGTATCTGTGACAAGTTTCCCATTAATTTTCCGTGTGCTACTCTGAATTTTATTGATGTAGTTTAAACAATTATTGTTTTCCCAATTCTATGTAAGTATACATTTTGGATGATTGAATAAATTTGTTTATTTACAGCGAGAGTTTGTAAAATTCAAGTAATAAGTTCTTTTACTTATTGATATCAGTATCAGTTCTATAGACATTCCGTACATAAGAATCATGATGAGATATCAACAATAAATATATTCATTACTTTATAAACACATCGGGTGTCTTGCACATTAACAATAATTGTTTATTTATTTGTTTTACTTCCACTACTTTAGTTGCCCTAAAAACGTACCCCTATATAGGTTAAGCAAACAGTTACGTTTTTTAAAGATTATTGTCGTCATCTAGACATGTTATACTTAACACGACGTCACGATAGCGTAACATATCATTAGTAGACATTTGCTTAAAAATATAATAGAATTATGAAACTGTTATCGAATTTCGTGATTGCATTTTGTAATTAAAGTAATAACAGGGTACGGGTAACACAATAATAACACTTTTGTGTTAAGATATGCACTAGCTTAATTTTTTTTGGTAACCAGAACGTCTTTTAATACACGCTGTAGAATTAAATAGAATAGTGTATTATACGTTTGTGTAAGTGTATAATACTAAAAAACACACTTTTTCGTGAACAAGTGAGTAAGACTTTCAGAAAGTGTAATGTACCTATATAGTAGAATATTAAAAATATATATTGATAATTGTAAACCAATTTTCTTTTGCTCTACTTGAAATTTTCCAGAAAAGCACGTACGGCAGGTGACTAAAAATTTAAAACTATCTGGTCCCTTAATCATCGCAGTCCACTCCTGGACATAGGCCTTTCTCATTGCACGCCACTTACATCGATGTTTGGTCCCTTGCTATTTGACAATGGTTTAAAAATGATAACTTAAGGACAAAAATGCTTTCAAGCCGTACATTATCTGATGGCCCGTCTTGCCAGCGTGGTGTAGTTACTATACTACTTCTACGAAAGGAAGTTTTGACCTAATATACAATAGTAGGCCAAAACCTCCTTTCTAAGGAGAAGCCTATGTTTAGCAGTGGACTACTAAAGGCTGTTGATGATGATGAAGACGATGATGATTATCAAATGCCAGGATAAAATGCAAGCACTTGCTTATACAATATCAGGTGACAGGATAAAAAGATTAATACTACTCGTATATTTATATAAATCGATAAGCGCCACCATGAGCTTGAGCATGAACTTGTGATAAAAAGCAACCTTTGCATGAGATCGTAAACGAACGATATGACGACTGATCCTTTCAAGTGCCAGAGGCATTGTGCTTTGTGCTATAAAAAATATCTATATGCGTAAAAGTACACAATAGCGTAAAGAAACTAAGATCTAAGGTATAAGAAGTCTAGACCTTAACCAAAAATAACACTTTATCTTATGGAGTGACAGCGGTCAGGCAGCGGTTGGGTAACAGCCGTTTTTTGAATTGCGAAGTGTACACAATATTCTTACGTGCTTTTTGACAACCGTGAGGAAAAAGCTGACATATGAAACGAAAAACTGACGGTAAAGGAGCATTAAACACAAATCTAACATTATTCCGCATCGCAAAGAAAAAAATTCTTGGTAATCCTATTTAAATGGCTCTTAAAGATCTTGAACTAAGAAGAGGTCTTATAGAAATGTTGTTTATTGAAGCTCATTAACTTTATAGGGGTTTAAGTATCGAGTAGTGATTTCTCATTGACTATTTTAATAAATATTAATAAATAGGTAAAAACCTTGTCGTTTAGTATTCATAACCATTATTATTATTATTATTATTTTTTGTATTTGAAAGAAACTTTCTAGGTAACGTGCATTTTATAAGCTGGGCGACTATTTTAAAGCGGTCAAATATAGATTCAAATTAAACTATCAGTTTAAAATTATCTACATTGGACAAGGACCTCAATTCTGCTATTTTAATATTGTATCGGTAGACTGTCGATGGAATGTCGTCGGAATAGTTTTCCTTTTCTACTAACAATGTAAGACTCATGGCCTTTCGATGATTTGTCACTGATACAAATGTCATCGATGTATTTGTAACAGTTTGGTAAACGGTACATTTTAAATTTGTAAGAAAATAAAATATTTATTTTTCCAAGTACGGCAATGTTGTTGATATCAACATTGATGTCCTATATTACTATATCGACAGTCTATTGACGTGACGTGACGTGAATTTATGTTAGTAGAATACTGATACCAAGATACTGATACTGTAAGATACCATTTGTCGTATCACCTCAGTTTGAGAGCACCTCACTAACTGCCTCATCCAGTATCGGAATCCTATGCATCGACATATCGAGCGAAGCCCAGTTTCGGGACGCTTAGAGAGTAAGGTCAAATTGGCCTCGAAGAAGCTCGGTATGCTGAACAGATCGAGGCAGTATTTCACTCCGGCCTGCGCAAGTTCGGCCACATATGGAATACTGTTCTCTTCTCTATGCAGTTGCACCTCTTTACCAGCTGCTCCCTCTGGACCGCATCCAACGAAGAGCGACTCGTATCGTTGATAGCCCAAACATCTCCGATCTCCTCGATCCCATGGCGTTACGTAGAGATGTGGCTTCACTCTGCATTTTCTATCGCATATATCATGAAGACTGCTCAAAGGAATTGTTCGGACTAATACCAGCTAATACCAACTTTCCGCGACCCGTCTGCAACTGCTCGTCTGCTCCCTCTAACATAAAAAAAATAAAAATACTTATATTTTAACCGATGTCAATGACGTCTCAATGGCATCTCAATAGCGTGTCAATGGAAAGACAGTGGCTTGGCGTTAACATAAAATAGCAGACCCCTCACACTACAGCGTAATCAAGAAAAAAAAAAAAGTATAGCTCCCCTAAATGTGAACATTTAGGGGAGGTATACTTTTTTTACGATTTACTTTCCGTACTTTATCAGTGTCATTTAAATACAAACCCATGCCTAGTTAGAATTTTTTAGTAGCAACAGTTGATGGGCAAACGGACAGACTGCCGGACCTGGGGAAACTTTACAGAATCCTTGATAAAAAGAAACCAAAGAAGTGTAAAAATTCAATAAACATTATTTTTAATATTTCGTAAAATACTCGTAAATAAAACTTTAAAATCAAAACTATCTAGTACAATAACAGACGCAAACAAAAGCTGAGATCAGATATCTTAGGAAACAATAACAAATGTAAGAGCCATCGCAATATGAAGAAGCAACAAAAGCCAGAGACAATAAAAAAATTTACGAGCTCTTCCATCATGTCTAACTGTAAGGAATTGTTTTCACCCGCCACGGAACATAAAATAACAATAAATAGATTAATACTTGAGATTCTAACATCGCAAGTTATACTGTAATAGCTTTAAGTGGGATTTGTGCAAAAGTTGAACGCTTTTCAAAAATCCTTGTCTGAGGGCTCGGTGACCTTGACTTAACCGTGACTCAACGAGGCAAATTGTTAAAAAAGTGTAGCTTCTTATTAACAAGTGACAGGCATGTCATTATATGACTGGAGTGGTTAGTTTTGTTAGAGGATACGAGCGTGAGAAGTGTTAGAATGAAAAAAATAATTGTATTTCCATGTAACGTGTTAAACATTACCTTAGCTGGTAGTAGTCCATTTGTAAAGAGAAAGACATACATATATACAGTTATTAATATCAGCTCAGCAGTTATAAATATAAAAGTTTTGGAAAAGTTTATCTTTAGTCTTGATCATACTAATGTATCATTGTTAATCGAGGCATTTCCAAGGATCACTTTTAAAATCATCTAAGGCGACTAATAATCATTCAGCCTCCTTGAAAGTAAGCAACACTTATACCTGTCATTGCTTTTTAAGTAGGTAAAATAATTCTTTACCGGAAAAAAGACAACAGATAATGCGATAAAATTGTTAATATGGAACCTTTGAATAAGTGTAAATTTTAAAAATACGTATTATCAAAACGTTTATGGCTATATATATCATAGTAACAAAAGTAGTTCATATGACGGTTTTGTTACTCAATAAATCCGTGCCTTTCCGTTGAACGTGTTAGGATTATAATTTAATGCACATCTAATCACTTTAGCTCTTTTGTGAATAAATCGAGTACGAGAAACTATACATAAATCAGAAAACAATATAAAATTAGGATACAACAGTCAATATAATAAATTGAGACATTTACTCTGTTAACTGTGAAATTTGTAACAAAGCACCCTACTTTCTTCTACAATTATTTTCAACGACACAGTTTATTAATAGGACTTTAATACACAAGAGTTGGCATAATGAACTTACAAATTGTTACAACAGATTGCTGGCTGCTTTCTCTAGAGATTATATAATAAAAACAGTCCAGCTTTACGGTCAAAGTTTGTGAAACTTCGCCCGCTGTAGAGTGATAATTACTAACACGCGAACTTTCTTGCAGTTCGCTGTTGATCTAGTTATTATATATTAATACGAAGTATTTCTTCAACTGTTTGCATTTAAATATTTAATGCTATATTATTGCTATGCTATGTTGCTACTAGATCCCGTTAAAATTTGATACTCTGTGGAGTAGTGAAAATAAAGAAATTTTATCAATACTTTTATGATAACTGTAACTTTATAAATAAACTATTTGTAACATTTGATACCCAGGAACCCGTTCTTTTTAATTCTTTATTTAAGAGTAATAAGACTTTTTAAAAATCAAATTAAACCAGTCGACTTTATAAATGGGGAAAAAAAAACTCATTATAAATAAATATGATTACAGACCTCCTAATCTTGAATGTAAATTATTTTATCTCTCTTATCGCATATCACTAAAAAGAAAAAAGCCAGTTTGACTGAACAAGAATTCATCATTTTTTTATTAATGGTATTGTTTTATTTATAATCAACCTTAAAACGAACAGTTTTGAGACCTACACGAGTCTACCACCAGCTAGGGTAATGTTTGTGTTACAGTTATATAAATGTCGGCATTGTTAAGTGTGATTTTAACCCACATTATCTTGACCACGATTTCAACGCCTTGGCTAAAGTTTACTACATCACGATGTTATAAGATGGCTATCTTTCAATACTTACCCTATTGTTTGTTTCAGTGTTCGTTCTCTGCTGGTCTCCGTACATGATCTTCGACATATTGCAAGTTTATGGCTATGTTCCTGACACTCAAGTCAACATTGCAATAGCCTCACTCATCCAGAGCTTAGCGCCTCTCAATTCGGCAGCAAATCCTGTTATATACTTCATATTCTCAAACAGAATATTTGTGAGCCTCAGGTAAGAGTATAATAATACTTACACTAATTGTCATTTTTCTTTTAACTCCCGAATTAAAAAGGAGGGATGTTTTAAGTTTAACATGTGTATAATATGTGTAGCTTCTAAACTGATTGACCGATTTTATAAATTAACCAGCCGCGGTGTTACCCGCGTTTGTTATTATAACCGCGGGCAACGCCGCGGGGCGAAGCTAGTCTAAAAAAAGTAGCCTAAGTTACTCCTTATGTCATCAGCTATCTGCCAGTAAAAAGTCCCGTCGAAATCGGTCCAACCGTTTCAGAGATTACCCGGAACAAACAGACAGACAGACAGACAAAAATTGAAAAAAATGATATTTTAGCATATGTACCGTGTAAGTAAAAAGCGGTTATTTTAATATTACAAACAGACACTCCAATTTTATTTATTTGTATAAAATACCCCGGTATTCGAATTTGATTTGAACCGACTAAAATAACTAACATGAGTTGACCGTCGAAATTATATGATAATTTCTTAATTCGTAGTTAATATTCCGCAACTATAAAACATCAATAGATAAGCTACCTATATCACGCTTACATTTGACGACCGGATGGCGTAGTGGTTTGTGTAACAGACTGCTTTTCCATAGGTCGCGGGTTCGATTCCCGATCAAGTCAAACATTTTGGTGCATGAACATTTAATTTTTCATTGAGCTGGGTTGTTACATGTATAATATGTATGTACTCGCATTTAAAAAACAAAAGTATATATGTATTAATATCAGTTGTCTAGTACCCATAGTAAAAGCTCTGCTTAGTTTGGGACTAGATTGCATTGTGTGAATGTGGTAGTATATTATTATATTATTTGAAAGTTAGTAAATCTTAAATTTATTAATCTTAGTCAAGGAAAACTGTACTTTAGCATCGAGGAAATAAAGTTATTGTTTTTTACTACGGTTTCAAAGTGGGTCACACTTCCCATTTAAAATTACAACGGTATAAGTATCTTACTATAAGTATAAGGTAACAAAGTTCTGCGAGGATTTAAGTGTTTTAGTGTTTTTATTGTATCAAAAGGACAAAATTATATTTGAGGTTGAATTTTGATTGCTATGTATTTTAAATGGTAGTTCTACCTGCTGATTGCAAATGTTAATATTTCATTATTTTTCCTTTAGCTTGTCCTGGTCTGACCTAACTTAAAATTCTCGTTTTTATCAAAACATATTCCTCTAAAACGGTTTCTTTACACAAAGAAAGAAAATTGGTACAGACAATGAAATTAAATGACTCGGTACAACTAAACCGCATTTCTTGATGTTCCAGACTAAAAAAAATTTAACATAACACGTTTAGAAAATAGGGTGCTTTAGAAAATGAACGTTTCTTTAAGTAATCTTTGGTTATATCAAAAATATTTTGGTAAAAAAATCCTCTGCCTTACAAGCGGGAATGATAAAGTAAGTTGTATAATTTAGACATTATACAGAAATATAATGACGAGATTTTCAAGATATTTAATGGAAGTCTTTGTGGTCCAAGTCTGTCTTATGCTAATAATTGGTCCATGGTACGTTGTTTGTTACACATTTAATGATATGTTCTTGAACGAAGTATTCAATTTAAATATCGAATTAATAAAGCTTTTGAAGTTTACTCATGACTCTGTTAAAGTCAATATCAAACAGGCGCAAATTTTAAATCCCAAAGGAGTAATATTACTGTGGTGGTATTTATTATTGAAGAATTCATCAAGTCTCAGATGAAGCGAAATATTTCTAGCAGCCAGCACGATGTATAGACTAGGTCACAGAGCTTAATGTTACATTGGCAATTACAATTGTGGATTTTATTAACAAAGAAATAACATTTAAATTCTAAAAAATTATGACTCGGCAATTTTTGCCGAGTCCAGACCAGTAAAAGCGGTAACATCATAAAAACGAAAGATAAGTGAAACTAAACTTGAAATATTTTTCTTTTTTATTTAACCGTATTTAGATTTAACTGTTTCGCCATTTTAGTTTGACAGAAGTACTACTTTGTCCTTTTTTACCCTTTAATTTAAGCTGTACTCATAAATAACGTTGACTGAAAACGGATAGGCTCCGTACGCCGGGACCCGGCTTTTGTATTATAGGCGAATTAACGACAGCCATAAAACTTATCGAGAAATACCAATCAATATTAAGAACTGTAAAAGTACTCTGGAGATTAGTAATTACTAAAACAGCACAGTGAGTACTAAAATTTATGAATGAAATAGTTTGTTTGGTTTATTTTTAATAAGATATTTGAAAGATATAACGTTTTACATAATTACCATGAAGACATCAGAATAATGCAAAAAAATAAAATGATGTTAAGCTAAGTAAAAAACATGGCTTAGTGAAGTTTTGTTGCATGAACAAAAATAGTTTTATAAACAATCATGAAAAAAGTGTGCTCCCGGCTGAACCGCCGCGGTGCCGCTCTTTACGTACCATACTCGTAGCTAATATTATTGACTACGAGTGATATAAACATCTGCTACGATTCGATGTCAGCTACGAAGAAATCTCTGTGAAATTAACAGCCCTATTTAAAACAAAATAACTTTTTTACTACGAAGTTAAGAATGTTTTTTTTACTGTAAATGTGTTTTTAATTACTTCGTTTTAATAGTATTTATTTGAGGAGTTTTAATACCTTTTGTAGGGAGATATAGGAGAATGGCGGACTACGAGTAATTACCTGAATGTTTTTTTTTAGCAGTATTCCAAGAATTGAATTGAATTTAAGAATATAATTATTAACTTGCTGCCTTCTTGTGCAACAAACAAATAAAAGCAAAGCGGCAAGAAGTCTAATAACCAAATATTTGAAAACAAAGTATATTGTTTATGTTGTCGTACCATTATTATTAATGGTTATATTATTCATGTATATTGCCATGGAAACAGCAAAGAATAACTACCTTTCATCTAGAAAAAAAATGGATTTAAGGAATCGATTCATCGACTCGATTACACTTACGGGAGCGAAGTCCCAGGCAAAGTCTGTTTTATAATATATATATATATTATAATATAAATTATATACTACTACATTCACACAACGCCATCTAGTCCCCAACTAAGCAAAGCTTGTACTATGGGTACTAGGCAACTGATATAAATACATATATACTTTTTTTGCTTACTTATTATACATAGAAAAACACAGACCATATCAAACATAAATGTTCATGCACACAAATGTTTGACTTGAGCGGGAATTGAACCCGCGACCTTTGGAATAGCAGTCCGTTACACAAACCACTACGCCATTCGATCGTTTGAGCCTATGTCTTTTCGTACTCTAGTAAAAAAGTCAGAGTTCTTTTGTATCTAATCATGCTAGACATTTGTTAGAAAACCTGCCTGCTACCAGGTTTGCAGTTATATTGATCAGTGGTCACTAAAAGAACGAGAACGAAGAATGTTTAAATTAATTAAAGATTTGCAATGTTAGTAGCCCTAACGTTAACTAAAATATAGCTTTACATCAACTTTAAAAATAATGTTCTAACGTGTTACCTTCGCCAGTTGTGAATCAATAACAAAATATTTTTTTACTTCATTGAGTTGTTCTCAAATTAGCTACTATTTACATTTTGATAAAAATCCACTTTCAATGATGGAAAATTGAAGGATTAAGATTGAAGGCTGCGATACATTTTTGAATATAATTACGTCACAATACAAAGTTAATTTGGTTATTGGTAAGAAGTAAAACCCAAAACTGCTTTGTGATTTTGTATGAGTGATTTTTGGATTTTCCGTTTTAAGTGCGACATTGCCATGTTAAAAACTATAGTTAAATTGTCATATTTTTAATTTTCATATTTTAATTGATGTTAAAAATTGTTAACTTAAATTACTTTTCCCTTAAAAGATAAAGATATTTTTAAAAATGTTGTCGTCCAGTGTGAAAAGAAAATATTATAATAAAATTAATTTCTTGGCACCTATTGTAAATTGTCATGTCACTTTTTAGACTCCACTAAGCTAAACTTTTATTGTAAGTTCCAAAACATAAATAAATGTACAAATTATATTTTGTTAATGCGCATATATCATACTTAGAAGTGTGATCGAATCCGGGCACTGCTATACAATGCACGAAGGCCGCACACTTCGCGTGGTAGTGCATTTAAGATTGACAAAAATAAGTAATTATATTTATATATTTTTTTTTTTATAATGTGACAATAATATTGGTAAAAAAAAAATCTCTTCTAAAATAAATAAAACTGAACGAGAATACACTCAAATTTTTCCTTTATGTTTGTTAACACAAAGTAGCATACTCATTAAATTTAACTAGAAAAGTATTTAGATCATAAATTTCACCAGAAATTGAACAATAAGGCACTAAAAGCAGTTAAGAGGTCATCAAGCTATGGCTCTAACGTCAAAAGTACTATCGTTAAAGTGCACTTAAATACTAAACGCTTTATGCTTTTTAGATCGTAAACATAGTCTGTTTAGTAGCTTTTAAGTGACTATCTGTTGCTTCTAGAATGTTTTAAGTGTTGGTCACTCTTATAAAGGAGCGACAAAGTTGAGTAACACAATAAATACCTATTCGTTCGTATAGTTACATATTACCTTTTAAAATTTCGCGTTCCACGATTTATAATTTTGTATTTATACACACGGCAAACGAAATACCTGGTTAGGTTTATATGTGCTTGTTATTCCGGTAAGTATAATATCAAGGGTTAAAATTTGAATTTGCCGATTTGTACTGAGAAAACTAAACACATTTTTTCTAAGATGTAACATATTTATTTAATCAAAATATTTACCCTCATTATCTATACATTGCTGCCATCTAAATGGAAGTTCATTTATGGCTTTATGATAGAACTAGGGATCTAGATTCGACAAACTGTGTGAAAGCATTTTGTACTGCCTCCTGGGAAGAAAGTTCGTTCTTCAAGTTGAAGTCTCCTCTCGAAACGCAGCATTGATATTGCGAGCCGTTTCTACTGCGTTAGTTCCGCGTCGGCACTCGTATTCAAAAATGATTCGGATTTCGAAGTATACATATTTCACGCCTAAGCTGAATTAAAAAAAAATTGAAAGTCGAATGTTGCACATTTTATAAAAGAAGAATCTCATATGTATCATGTGAAAAAAGGTTCATGCCAATTCAAATTATCTATTACTATACAATGGCAATTTAATCCTTTAACCCCTATACGTTTACATGTGTATGAATTATAAATAACTCGTTTCCTTACTCATACATTTGCATATTATAACTGTTTCAAAACCAGGGATAAGAAAAAAATATGTAACCCTAATAAATAACGTGCATGTTGATAATTTGGAAACAAACTCCGAAACCACTTTTACATAGTGCATTCTCCCTATCTCATCATTAATGCTAATTTACTAAAGTAATTAAACTATTTTTATCAATTTAATTAACCTTAAAGACAGTCAAAGTGAAAGTTTTAGATGCATGACAGTTAGATACATTAGAAACTGAAAATAGAATTGATATACCACGATATATGCTAAATGAATAATGAAAAGTAGAATTTAATGTTCAGTGGTACATTCATTACGATTAAAACCATGCCACTATTTAATTCGCAAAATAATCAGTGTCATACAAACTTTTATGTCCATTTACCCCTAATAAAGACAAGCTACCAATATGATATTGCAGTACAGATTTGTAAATGCCCTTTTAACAACAGGAACATTCCTCCATATAAATGGTTGTGGTGCTGGGTGAAGGCAAGTGACAGTCCATCTGGAAACGAATCCCGAGCACACACCGAACTGTTGACTTCATCGCACAGGCGGACAAGACATGAACTCACCATTAGAGTAAGTATACCAACACATTACGTAAAATTTACGTAAAATTTACTATACAAAAGCGGACCTAATGTCTACAGTATTCTCTGTATGTCAACTTTAGAGTGATGCAGAAATAGAAAATCATAATTTGTATGAGAGATTGTGACTAAATGATCAGATGAAGATGATATGATTGTTTCACATCTTCAACATATTTCATCAGTTAATTATAATCCTGAGATTCAAATAAAATCCAAATTGTATCAATTTTCGTTATAAATCCATACACAGTTTAAATATTGTTAAAAAGAGGTAAACAGAACAAACTAATAGATATAATTGCCTCTATATATTAATATTAATGTACAAATTATCTACATCAGTTGTTTATTGTGTAGTAACACGTAAACGTCAAAGTACAGACTACAGTTTTAAATCTGAAGGTCAATTCTCGTAATAAAGGTTCGATCACAATTCACTTCCCATCAACTTTCGATCTACAACTGTCATAAAAGGTATTTTCGTAAGAGAGGCCAAGAATTGGCCTTTACTAATAAAATATTATATAATATTATTTTATAATTACATTAGATTTAAAACATTCTCGTTATTTTTTAAAACAAATTTTTGAGCTAATTATTTAAACAAGTTTCTTTAACAATCCAAGTTGGCAATTCCCTTATCTCCACTTATTATTCATTGTCACCAAACAATACCCTTCTCAAGATTTAATTACCATCTACCTGCCTACCAAGGTCACTCACCTGAATAATTAGGGTATCTGTCACTTTCATTGCCTCACTTTGACTTTGATAAAAGTTTTTCTACAATTATCCAATATCCTCACTTCTTGCCTTTAAACTTTTTTATGGCCCTTTTTCGAGAATTTAAATTAGTTCCTTCACTTTATATCATCTCAGTATACATCAAATGTTGGTACTAATTTTTTTTTTTGATAAAAGTTATTTAGACGGCGTTTGTTCTTAATGACTCACGATTGCGTCTATGTTTTTTAATGGTGTGTTCTTTTTTTAACCTAGGTGAAGGACGACAGTATTAAATTTCCAAAGCCCAAAGTCCACCATTACAACAGTACAAACTCGAAAAAGGTTCGTCTAAATCTCCCTGAACAGCAGCTCAATAACAATTGTCATCCTGTACAAAGACGGCGAGAAGATACTTTCTTGTAGTGTTAACCGAAGTATTCGTGGGCCATAATCGGGGCCATATTTACTTGTTCATTTTGTCTATGGGTAGACCATCAGCAAGAGCTTCAAGTAACTTACGAACAGTCTCATTGACTAAACAAAAAAAAACGTGATTTTCATTGTAACTTAAATATTTCCATTTTACGTATAATTTTATATGTACGTGTTATGTATACTATGTAATTTTAATCAGTGTGAACTTTTAGAATAAGATTATTTTAAAAATGAATTTTTATAAAATATTAATGTAATATTAATGTTATTTAAGTAAATGCAAATAATGTTTGAAATGTAAATAAATAAGATGTTAAAAATGTATTTTTAACAAAACACAAGCAGCTTTCCATCCGTAACAATTGAATTTAAAAAATTAAATCCATAGATAAAACAAAAGAAAGTCCGCATTTAAATAACAAATAAATTACCTTACTAATATTAATATGAGCGAAAATTTGTTGAAATGAGCCAATCAATTCCTATTTCTTTTTCACATGAGCGTTTTTCAATACTTGCAATACATCGATTTTTATCAGAAGTCTACTTACGTTGTATGTATCCTGCATAAAGTAATGCTTCTTACTGGACTTATAATTTGTTATTTACTAGTTTAGTTCCGTAGTTATTGATTTTGACTCACTATTGTAATATATGAATATGAGGAATTATATTTTACAATTAATCCCTTACTAGTCTTTTGTTACAGGTTTAACACCTTTGTTATTTTATTGATAAATTTGGTTAAGTTCCAAAAAAAAAATTTTAGTCTTCACATAAATAGTAACTACAAAATGTAAAGCAAATATGGTTAAGATTGTGATTTGATCCATGTTTTCTTGTCCGGTATTTATTTATTGTTGATCTAAACTTCATACAATGCATGGTGTAATAAATTCTCAAAGTAATTTATTGTAAAAAATAAGTAGCAAAACAGAATACAGGGACTATTTAGAAAAATCATCTACTTTTCGGTGTACTTTGTACGACTACTTAGATTTCATGAACAAAAACATGCTGTATATATTATAATGTAAAGGTTGACGTTAAGTGTTAAAAACGCTATAAATATAGGCAAAGCTCTGATTTCAATTCTTACAAAACCAAAGATTTGTAGTATGGTTGTTGTAAAAAATGTTTTGCCAGGCAAGTTCAAGTCGCAACTTAAACTTTCAATTACCGCAAGTGAGACGTATTATTCTTTTTAAATAATATAAATGCCACCTAGTTTAAACTTATTTTAAAGCACATAAATTAAAGATTCTTATTCGATTACTTTAAAAATGGTAAATACCCGAACAGTAGACCGAATCTTAAATTTTTGTTTTTGGTTACTGGTTTGACATTTAATACATTTACACACCAAAAGTGATTGTCAAATCCGGTCCTCATACTATAAGTTACAAACAAAGGAGATGGTGTTTTTTCATTTCAATTTATGGACCTAAAAGTAGTGTACACACTGTGGGTAGGCTTTATACCTCCATTATTTAAATACGATACAATTGAAATCGGCGCTTTTCCTACTTTTCTATTGTATAATTGTAAGTTAAAACGATTCGATATTGCCCGGCACATATTGATCCAATTCATGTTAGTGTGTCTAAACTATGAGGATGACATTCAAGTAAAGTTATTTTACTTAAAACATGTGGCACTTTGACTGGTATTGGGACAAAATGTTACCGGGCCGTAATAGCTGGTAATGTGCCAAACTAGATTGGAGTCAAACTCTAGTCATTTTGTGTTTTATGTGTGTTTTAAATGTATTGTGTACATTGTAGCTATTGGTCGATATTATATTTTATAGTCTCTCTTATACTTTTAATAACGAAACACAACATCGTTTAAAACTAAACTCTTAGCATAATGGCAGTTACATTAATTTTAATAAAAGAGTCATGTAATTTATAATAGCTTTTGTACAATACTCTGAATAAATAAAAATAAATAAATTATTATTATTATACTATTGTAATCTGTAAGTTATGTTTCTTTGGCGTCACGTAAACTGCTGTTTGAAAGAACATGTTGGGGCTGCCGTATAGTTGTGCTTACCCCTAAATACAACAGTTATTTGTTAAACCACTTTGTTTAAAATGCATACATTGCCAATAGCTACATAGCTTATACGCTATATCCGAACAAAAGGATATAAGAATAAACGTATGAAATATTAAAGCGCCTCTTTATTTTTTCCTTTTAAATGAAGCCTTTTATTATTATTACAAACTTTAAAATGCAGTAGCTCTGCATCTTAAAGTTTATTTTATAATAAACAAAACAGCAGGATTCTAGACTATATGATACCTGATTACTATATGATACATGGTCACTAGAGAAATTTAAATTAATAATAATAATAATAATAATATTTTATTTCTTCTCTCACACAGAAAATCATATCAATAAACTAGTAACAAAGTTATAGATTACTTTACAACAAGAAAATGCTAATCTGTGTGAGAGACTGGTATCCGTACTAGGTAAAAACCTGTATTACAGATGACCAGCCTCTCCTGGCTCTCGATAAGTAGATGTAGCAAGTGAGATATTTTGTACAAAGTGATTATACATGTGAGATGAAACAAATGAATGAATGAATGTGTATTCTCTAACCTGTAATATGACTAAAGATATCGGTGTATGGGTGTGTGTAAGAAGATATATATATATATGAGTGTAAGTGTAAATATGTGTATGTTTTATGCTGCATGTGTAGGTGATTGTGTGTTGTGTGTGTGTGTGTATATAAAAATTAATAACACCGAATGGTTTTTGAACCATAATAATTTGGAAATATCTGAGTAAAGACCCTAGTTATTTACAATTTATAAGCGTGCGAACTTATAAAAATATACTTAACCAGAATAACATACACAAATGTTTGTGTGTAGTATTTTGTAGTAGTTAATTTGTGTGCCGTGACGTGTGCCTCTAGACATTTCCCTATATTCGGAGCTAAAACTTTGCACTCCTCATTAATATTGTGAAGGAATGGATATTAAGTTTGTCCAATATCAGGAGAAGTATCCCTTATACTTCTCCTGGCGACGTGGGCATGCCTGGAGGGCCGCGGCCTAAAGTTTTTGTAAATACTCGTAGTGATCGGCGCGAGAACTGACATGGTGCGATAAACAATAAATAGTTACTATGTAGGTAGATAACTGTCTCTTCATTAAATAAAATTAATGTATGTTTCTCTTAATATGTGGAAATCGTAACAATATCAGGTATTTATTTATATTCATTGGGATCACCAACAAGGAATACACCTTTCATACTATATTAGGTTAAAATAATAATAGGAGACCACATCATGCCAAAAAATTCATAATATCCTATTTTTCCTTTTTTTTAAATTAATGCTTAAAACAAATTATGGATAAATGTAATACCAATACAAACATCGGTCAGCATTATTTACATAGTAGACAAATTGAGAATTTAATATTAAAAAGTTAATTACAAATTGGATGCTTATAAGTAAAACACATTAGTGAGCTGTGGGCATGGACTTTTAGTTTCTCTGTTTACTTGAGAAAACGTCTATATCTTCCGCGTATCTAAAGTCAAGGGTAATGGGCTAAAACTGATAAACATTTGATTGGGGTTTCGCATGCAATCCAGTCAACTGCAGACGTGAAGAAGGTGCTTGTAACATGTAGGCTCCACCTACCATACCATCATCATTATCTTTAAAATAATAATAAATAAATGTGCACAGTTACACTTACTGAGCACTTACAGTCAAATTATTGAAATTAAAATGAACAAATTAATTTCCACTGAGTTGGTCAAATACTTAAAATATTAAATTAAACATTGTTTACTTATAAAATATGTAAGTAACTGAAGTAAAACTAACCACAGTGCCAAAAAGACATCTCGGAAGCAATTTTTCGGGAAAATTACTTTTCTTGGTTATTAATTTACGTCAAATGTCAGCTCTGAGTTTTACTTCTAAAGTAACTTGGGAACTTTCGTAGTCTTTGAAATTTGTTTGTGATTTTTCTCTTTAATGATGCCGACATTGTAAGAAAGTTAGAGCCGGTTGCTTTCTCACTCTCTTCTCTATTCCATCGCCCTCGCTTAACATAGAATATTTCCTCGTTACTTGACAGTCTTATCCAATATTTTATAAACCAAATAATAATAAAAAAGATTGGATGGTGGGTGGTGAGTTTAAAACTGATATTTTTATCACAGTGAAACAATATTCTATCCCCATTGACAATACTTCTTAAAATACAAACGAGAAGTACCAGTCACGGAGACGAAAACGAAGTAGAAAAAATAAGAAAGAAAAAAAGGCCAAACGTATAATTCATCAGTTTATCCAAATATAAAATCATTTTTGCAATATAAATAAGAAAAAGAAAACACACAACAACATGTTTTATATCTGAAAATAAAAATACAAGTGGATCCTTGACACATAACGAATTTAGTAAAAAATATTCCAACACATTTCAGAGCAATCGTCTCTAAAAGAAAATTTGATTAAACTGTCTCTGAGGACCTAGATAATACTAAAACCCCGCAGTGTCAAGACGTAGTTACAACCGAATGACTGTGAATAAAAAAGATTTAAGTATACAAACTTTATAGTCTAGCTTAGCAAACTATATTATTTTGTTTTAAATTTTTAAACATATATTTTTAAATCTCAAATTTAATTTACGCGGTGTGTACAATTTGAGAGAAGGATTACGAAGAAATTACGATTAACTAAGAAAGGGTTGTAAATATTTATTTGTATATTGGCATAGGGTATTAATGCAGCGCGTCGGGCCCCCACCTTACGGAGACTCTCCAGCCCAGCTTCCTGCGAGAAGTGGTTGAGGGCCTTTTCCCGCAACGAGCGGAACACACTCCCCCGGCGATGGCCTCCTTGGCCGGAGACGACGGGGAGCACGAGGAGGATGATGTTCCGCCCGTCCGGGATTCGGAGGTAGGGGCGGCTGTTCTACGGATCCGTTCCAAGA